AATTCATTCGCATAGTACTTTTGTAGGGACAATGACCGAGTCAATTGATCTTTGTTTCAATTTATCACATATTTTATCGAAATACATACATACGTGTATACAAAAGACAACCATTGAAATTATTTGAATTGTCCATTCTGTCTATGGTTTGGTTCAAGTCATTGTCAAGAAAATAAATGAAGTTGAGAGTGATGTTCATCAATTATTTCTCCAATACAGTTAGTAAGCTACTTTCTTCAAATTCATCATTGAGTTATTATAATGCTTCATCCGTTTATAGGCAGGCCATCTACAACTTATTTTTTCACTTAAAACTTAAAATTAGCTTAATTTCACCTTTACCAGTCGACACAAACTCGATTTTATCAAAAGTAGATAAAAATAATTAAGATTTGAAATCAACAAACCGTGCACTTGAATATAATCAACTTCTAAGCCCCTGTTTGGTGCGTATTTTGTCCTCATTTTTTGAAGAAAATTGACCGTTGTGAACAAAATGACGCCATTTCATCTTACACAAATTTGACTATTAATTGTACCAATTCCAATCTTTTAATTTTACATTTTCACCATTGCTATTTTCCAATCAACAGTTGTCCAATTGACAAAAATGCACAAAGTAGAAAGAAAGGGCAAAAAGGGAAAATTACCACAAATATTACAAAGTAATACCACACGTGTCATACAAGATGACCCACTCGATGTGATATAAAAATGCATTTTGGGAGGAAAAATGGTGTCCAAACAGACGCTAAGCATGTTTCGAATCTCAAATCAATGTTACATTTAGCGTCTTGTTTATTTATTAAGAACGGTTAAGTGTTGAAGTTTTAGTGATGGACGATCAATGAAAATAACATATTTTAACTCGAATATAATTTCCTTAGTACTTTCTTTTTATTTTCTTTGTTATTGGTTTTTCTTAAATTATTAATATTTGCTTATTTACTCTCAAAATAGGGCATGCCATTTTGATGTGAAATTGAATCTAATGTTCATCGAGACGGCTGATGTTACACAACTAAAATATCGAGAATTGATTTGTTTACAATTAAGGTTGTAGATTTTTTTTTTTTTTTTAATTTTTGCACGAATATAATTGTTGGAGAATCTATGTTACAAGTTTTCCTATTATTTTTACTCTAATTGGCGACTTATTACCTTTGGAATCCATTCCATTTGAGAATACACAATACAAACATAAAAAAGAAGACAAAAAGAATTTCAAACTGTTATAATTTTTAACGTAGACAGCATGATATTCAATAAAGCATAAAAACGTCTTTGATTCCCCACTCAGTGGGTTCGTGTCCTGTTGGCTCTCTCCCTCAAGTCCCTGCCACTCGTGCATATCCCTCGATTTACAACCCACCTGGCTGAGGGGCCTACGGCACAGGTGG